TGATATTGAATGCGTTTTTCTAAACCTCTTCTCAGGCGAACCTTGATCCAGAGTCGCGCGAATCTGGTTGAGAGCGGTGAAACGCAAATCTGAAACGGATTCACTCTGAAGCACGCTCTCAGATGACGGGAAGAAGTTGCCTGGGAAGAGGCTCGTAAGAGCAAATGCAACTAGGCTGGTCTTGTAATCATTTCCCGCACACGTCAAATCAGCTTTTTGGCACGTGCTGCTCAAGCATGCTTGCTCGCTCGGCCAAACTTTGTGCTGACAGGGTGTGGGAGAATGGGGCAGAATGTATTTGTAGGTACATGGAGAACTAAGCCGAATTTTATGGGCTTGGGAAAGGGTGGTGGGGTGACTTAGAGGTGTAGGAGGATAGTCTCTGGATGTGAGGACTTGGCGAAATATTATGGGGTGCGGGGTGTGTAGGAGGAATGTCTCTGGCTTTGAGGACTTGCCAAATTTCTGAGATCTCGTGATTTGCAGGATGCGCAGGAGGAATGCCCCTGGTTGAGGATGACTTAGCCGAAAAAATTGGCCATTCTTTTATGGATCCCCATAAGAAACGAGAAAAATTGAAAGTGAGCTCCAATTCAAAATTTTCAGGCCACTGTCGAAGTTCATTATCTACTGGTTCAAAATGGTGTTTTGTACGGGCCCTTCATTGAAAAGCAAGGCTCCCTCTGTTATGAATTATAACTCTTAGTGTAGCGCATGTTAGAAACTGAACTAGGAAGAAAAGAGGAGGCCGCCATGAAATGGCGGCCAAGGGTTTAGCTAGGAGAGTAGGCGAGAGTGTCGAGAGAAAAGAGAGATAGATTAGGAAGAGAGAGAGTACAAGGAGGGGTTTGTACCCTCTACAGTAAGGTTCGGTAACCTACCAAGCCTAATAATTATATAAAATATAATTTGAACACACCCCCTAGGCTTGGTAGTGGCCAGCCCACACAACCCACACACACACCCCCTAACCCCGGACACCCTCATTCTCGTGAGCAGCCGGGTATCGACCCCTCGTGCTAGGCTATGACACCCCCGGTCGAGAGGCAGCTGGCCGCATCTGGGCGGCCTCAATGACGACAGCGGCGGAGCTCGTGCTCAAGGCGGCTGTGTCGATGAGGACAGGCGGCGACTGCGGCGGCTGAGGGCTCTCGGCGGTGTGGCACGGGCTGGCGACGACTGAGCCGAAGACAGCAGCTACGGCAGGAGCAGGAGGAGATGCAGGGGAGGGAGAGGTGGTGGGGCTGCTGTGGTGGGGCTGCTGTGGTGGGGCTGCTGTGGTGGGGCTGCTGTGGTGGGGCTGCAGGACTTCAGCGCGGCGCCATAGGCGCGGCGCTTACTGGCGGGAGGAGGAGGCGGAACGGGGCCCAGGAGGGGCGCGTCTGGGCTAGGAGGCACGGCAGGGCCCAGGAGGGGCGTGACTGGGCTAGGAGGCACGGCAGGGCCCAGGAGGGGCGCGTCGGGGAGGTAGAACGGCGGAGCCGCCACATCAGGGCGGCAAGCCCAGCACGGCTGCTCGACGTGGCAGCCATGCGACATGGCCGCCACGGGGGCACGGCAGGAGCGACGAACGCACGAGAACGCAGCGGAAAGCACGGAGGGGAGCAGGCCCAGGAAGGGCATCCCGCTCTCGATACCATGTTAGAAACTGAACTAGGAAGAAAAGAGGAGGCCGCCATGAAATGGCGGCCAAGGGTTTAGCTAGGAGAGTAGGCGAGAGTGTCGAGAGAAAAGAGAGATAGATTAGGAAGAGAGAGAGTACAAGGAGGGGTTTGTACCCTCTACAGTAAGGTTCGGTAACCTACCAAGCCTAACAATTATATAAAATATAATTTGAACAGCGCAGTATTCAATAATGGGAACACGAATACAATGTGTCGGTACAAATGAGGCCAGGGGCTTTTATAGGGCGGTTGACCAAGGTTGAATGTCGAGGTTTGGAACAGTCAAGGGCTCGAAAGTCCCGAGGGTGATGGGGTCAAATTGGGTTCGGGGCGACTCGGGATCAGGTTGGGGCCCGAATAGGTCGGCGGGGGCTGGTTTGGCACGTGACTTGAGGGCCGAGCCTGCGGACGCGAACTGTTCACGTGTACTCGCTGAAGCGAGCCCCAATTAGGAATCGTACACTCTCCCATCTTCTAAAGAAGGCACTCCCATTATCGAGGCCGAACTTCTCGTTTAAATCATCCCCGATGTGACTGTTGTTCTGCAGCCCTGTAACGAGGGCCAGAAAACGTCGAAACGATCGCTTTTAATCTTAGCTGTCGATGATATCGAATTCTCCAGCTAACCAAATGGGCAAGGGTAAATACTTCAGCGGGAGACTGTGAACGGTAAAACTGTCGAGTGGGTGATTGATGATGACGCCTGCACGATGAATATCCCGAGTAACTAAGAACTGTCGAATGACGTGGCCAATGGTTGACGAGGAACCGTTCATCAACCCGCGAGGTCGTCTGTGACACATGCGAAGGCACACGTCTATGTCTTACGAAAATCAGCGAACTCCATCAGCGAATTATCGAGCGCAGGAGCGGAAGCGTAACTGAAACGAATGTCGGTCAAAGATGGATGTTGGAACACGCCTGAAGGGTCTTCGAGAATTTGCAGCACTGCTGCATTTCTCCCCCCTCCAAGAAGAAACAGCTCCCATCTTCCTAGGTAAAATTTCAGTAAACCCAGTCCTCCAGGGAAGTCGAAAGACCCAAAACTACAGCGTGAAATCCTCATACTCAATTTCAAAGATGCGGTTGAAATAGATCCTAGCGACTAAACTCGAACCGTGATGACTTTAAAATCTGCTCCGCTCCAAGTAAATATTTGCTTCAGGATAAAACGCGTTGAAGGTCTTGAATTTCCACAACTACTTCTCCAGAAGACTCCCACACGAACTTCAAAATTCTTTACGAGTAAAACAGTGCGTGCGAGCTGGCCCAAACACAGCTCCAACAGTGGATTCTCCAGCTGCCGAAATTCTTGTACAGTAGATACGATCCTGCTCCGGATGGGTGGCGATGGCGGTCGGGGTCGTGTTCACACAGGCAGAGGAAAGAAGGCGAATGGTCGATGGAGGCGATAGCGAGTGTTGGCGAGAGGTTGACGACGCTGGCGATGGAAAGTAATCCGTACTCAACTGCTTCAATGAATAACCTCGAGATAAACTCAGGGTCAAATGACGCCAACTGCAACAACTTCGTTGTCCTTACACACCGAAACATTCGGAAAGAGACAAAACAGCTGCTGCTTTACCCCCAAAGATAGCAGGCACAAATCCAGCTGTAAACTCATGATTTGCTCCAGCGAAAATGTCGGAACTCCATTAATATTTAACCAAGACTACAACACTGCTTCGCAGCTACCCGTAATAACTCTCGAAAGACGCGACGTCCTTTAGCAGCGCCCCCACGATTGCTCCACTGCCTTGGCATGATGTTTTTGCCGTCGATCAGGGTCAACGCGCATCATATGTCATCGATCTCCGCCCTGCTGTTTCCCAATTCTAGAAATTTTCCGGTACCCCTGACCAGCTGCTCCGTTAAATTTCGAAGGATGCCCTGCTGCAGCACCCTGACGTTTAGTAGCTTGCTGACCTTCACCCATCATCGCACTCGCCCTGGCACCAACAGTAGGTCCTAGGCTTTCGCGCCTTTACAAGTAGCCTCATTAACCAAGGCCTATTTCGGAAAGCTCCGCCGCACTCTGAAAGTTTCGGAAACATTGTCGATCTTCCAGCAGTAACTCCACTTCAAAGTTTTTCTGGTACCCCTTGCCAGTTGGCCGTGCCGATGTTCACCCATCTCGCGACTGCTGCAAGTTACCCAAATCTGTTGCGTTGTTTCTTAACTAAAGAGAATCTGCAGAGATAGGAGTGCACATATTTCTGGTCAGAGGAGCTTTAACGAGCTCGCCTACTGACCACTGGACAGCTCCCTCCTCCACCGGAAACTCCTCAAACTATACCCGAAAACGCCGGAAACTCCTTCTCCTGCATCAGGTGAAACCCTCAGCTCCGCTGCAACAGTAACTCCTAAAACTTTGGGGACACTCCATCAGCACAGTGTAGTTAGGAGGTTCACCCCCCTTATTCATCCAGAAGCCGAATATTAATAATTCGACACTGCTACATGGTGGGGATGGTGATATTCGGGCGACGTAGCTGAGCGAGCAGCAGCCCGAACGCCGCTAACCCTTAACTAAGTTCCAGTACTCCCGTCTCCGCTGCTTCAGCTCCAGGCAGTTGACACTTTCGGTGACCTGGTGGGAAACACTTTATACACACCCAAGGGTGGTGGAATTCGTTTTCATTGATCGTGGGGGTATGAATCGCTGTTCCAGGAAAATGCCTCCCCATGCGGGAAGTCACCCTTGCTGAGTACACTTACTCCAACACAGCGTCATCATCTCCAGATGGCCGTCGAATATGAATAGCGCCGAGGTCGTTCAATCTAGTTGCTCCCACACAACTGCACACCCACACGTGCCTCATGCGATCTTGTCGTGGCAAATTTGTCGGGGTCGCCCATTGCCGAAACCGTTTCTGAAGTCCCGTCCATCGCCTGCAACTAGCCTGCCAGAAACGCTAGTGCCCGCGACACAGCTACTGTACAGTTCACCCTGCAGCTTCATGGCATGCCCCGCCATTGTCGCCACCCCGCGCGCTCACGACGACCAACTACCGGCCACCTGAGGACCCATGCACTTGTCTCCTCTCGACGAAGCCTTCATTTTTTTCAGAAGCCAACCAAAGACTTTGTCAGAACACCCGAAGATTTTATAAACACTGGCGAACATATCTGAAAAATGCGACGAAAACATCACCATCTCACAACGTAAGATTATTCCGTCTACGCCTGGGGAAGGGGAGCACTGGCTAATCCTAGCCGTCCATTGGAAAGGATCTGACGGCGTCGTCCGCTCGCCATCAGCATCCTTTCGCCCCCTTCCCCGATCGGGTCTGCTCCCCTATTGGAAGCCTAATCGGTAGGAACGTAGCTCTGATACCAGCTATTATGAATTATAATTCACTGTGTAGCATAGTATTCAATAAGGGGAACGTGATTACAATGTGTCAGCACAAATGAGGCCAAGGGATTTTATAGGGCGATTGACCAGGGTTGAATATTGAGGTTTGGATTTGTCAAGGGCTCGAGAGTCCCGAGGGTGACGGGGTCAAATTGGGTTCGGGGCGACTCAGGATCAGGTTGTGGGCCGAATAGGTCGGGGGGGGCTGGTTTGGCGCGTGATTTGAGGGCCGAGCCTTCGGAAGCGAACTGTTTGCGTGTACTTGCTGAAGCGAGCCCAAGTAAGGAATCGTAATTCTTTACACTCTCCCTAAGTAGCGCTCTAATTGGCAGGGTAACTTTCTTGGTCACTTTCACACTCAATGTGGATTATGAAAGTTACTGTTCTTCTTAAAGCGAGGATCTCAAGAAGCACGAAACCAAATCCAAAAGGTTTGGAATCGGGTTGGCGAAATGAGCGAAACAGTAACATCGGCCCCCCAATACCCATCACTACACCTCGCAATTTTCGCGACCCCCCGAAACCAAAACCTTTGGGTTTGGTTTTCTGCTTCTTGAGATCCTCGCTTTAATGTTTTGAATGAAACGAGGTTTCCACACAACACAATGGAAATTTTGCCATAAGGGTTTTTTTTTTTTTTTTTTTTTTTTTTTTTTTCACACTTCGTTTATTAGAGGGCACTCTTGTATAGGCATGTTGGGGAATATGGTGGACTCTGAGGTGGGATATGAAGGGGAAGCCCTGTCATAGCAAGTTCATCCATCCGTCTTGTCCATCACCTTGTTTATCCACATATGAAAATTGATAACACTATGTGGGGCATAATAAGTGCATGGTTTTCTCTTCAACACATTCAAGGTATATTTTACACTCGCATGCTTGTCATATTAGACATTACTGGAAACATTTATATACACCACCCTGGATTGAAGGGGCAATGCGTAAGTTAGTGTACCGTACTACAATATGCAAGTGTACCGTAATAAGGCTCTAGAACAGACTCCTTACCTCCCTCCCAAGTGTACTGTAATAAGGCTCTAGAACAGGCACCTTACATCCCTCCCCTTCCCCGCTCCTTCACCTTGCCCACTTTCCCTTCTAGTCTTGTTACTTTTGCCTCTCCTTTGTCTTTCGACTCCATGTTTTCCCCTTCACCTTTGAGTGTCTGCAACAAGCCGTTGCGCGACACCCCAACATAAGACCAAGAGGCAGCAAGTCCACCGATGACCCAGGCCACCCACACTCAATACCTCATATAGGCCTCTTGAAAGAGCGGGCAATAGGCCGGACCAAGGAGGAAGGGAGTGGAGGGGACCCTATGAGTTGTTGCAGTGGAGAAGACTTAGTGGGAAGGAGAGCAGCAGTTTGAGGAGAAGCAATTGGTGAGAACAAATGGGCAACACTGTTGGTTGCAGGATGGATTCCTTGGTTCTGCTTCCGGTTTTTCTCTGCGGGTGGTTGCATATGCTGCTGGTGCTGCTGTTGCGATTGTTGTTGATGTAGCAGGGGTTGTAGCTCAAATGGCTGGGGCTGTCTCTGGGATGTCTGTTGTTGGGGATGTTGATGCCGCAACTGTTGTGGCTGCAGCTGTTGTGATTGCAGCTGTTGTGATTGCAGCTGATGTGACTGTAACTGCTGCTGCTGCAGATTATGTTGCTGTGATTGCTGCTGACTCAACTGTTGGTATGCTTGCATTTGCAGTAGCAAGAAGGGATCGAAAGCCCCCACCTGGCTGCTCTGCCAATCTGGAACTCGCACCTGCTGCTGCTGCTGCTGCTGTTGTTGGTGGTACTCCTGCTGTTGCGGCTGCTGCAGCTGCTGCTGCTGCTGCTGCTGCTGCTGCTGCTGCTGCTGCTGCTGCTGCTGCTGCTGCAGTATTTGCTGGAGTGTCGATTGATCTGCATTGCTGATATGGCCATGCAAGTGAGGTGTAAGACGGTGCATGCTGCTGACGTGGTTGAGCCGATTGGGTGCTTCTGAAGGGGAGATCTGGCCTGCCAATGAAGGCACAAGAATACTTCCCAGAACCAGCAAATGAGCTGGTGCCACGTGTCCCTGAGACACATGTCCAACTGTTAGTGCTGATGCTGGGAGTGCTGCTGATGACGTGGTTGCTGCTGCTGATAGTCCTCCGTGTCCTCCTCCTGTGGTTGCTATAGGTGCTGATGCCTGGGCTTCTGCTGCCGATACCCCAGCTGCTGCTGCTGCTGCTGCTGCTGCAGGGGATGCAATGTGTTGCCGAGTCTGGAGGCGGTATTTCTGTGTGCGGGATAGAGGATATGAAGGCAAAATACGAATGCCTCAGTATCAACAATTAAAGGGGAAGAGCGTGGTTTAAATATGAGTTTGGGCATCACAAGGGATTGGAGGGGGGGGGGGGGGGGGGAACATGTACTATTGTTTATTGTTATGCATTGAGAGGCTGGGTGCAGTGAAACTACGGTGCTGCATTCTAAGGGTGGCTTTGACATGACTCAAGATTGTTGCATGGTTGACTTTGAGCCCTGGAAAATGGATAGAAAGGTCAAATATAAGTACTTGTAGATGGCTCTTGATCTCATCGTTAGTCAAGTCTTCGACTTTCATCAACTCCTTAATCTGCTTGGGTGTGGCAACTGGAAGGAGGAAATCGGGTGGAAGGAGCGAGTACACAATGAGCTTCCATGTAACGTCGCTTTAAAGACCGATGGCGGGAAATGGATAGCACCTGTAACAACTTCCAAGCAATAGGGGAGACATGTACGCCGTAGCAACCGCGGATCAGCAGGGGAGGCATGTGCGCCGTAGCAACCGCGGGGCAGTATGGGGACACGCGCGCACCATAGCAAGCAACGAGCAGTAGGGGGTACACGCACACCGTAGCAAGCAACGAGCAGTAGGGGGGACAAGCACACCGTAGCAAGCAACGAGCAGTAGGGGGGACATGCACACCGTAGCAAGCAACGAGAAGTAGGGGGGAAACGCACACCGTAGCAAGCAACGAGAAGTATGGCCGACACGCACACCATAGCAACCAACGAGCAGTAGGGGGGACAAGCACACCGTAGCAAGCTACGAGTACTAGGGAGGACACACACACGTTAGCAAGCAACGAGCAGTAGGGGGGACATGCACACCGTAGCAAGCAACGAGCAGTAGGGGGGACAAGCACACCGTAGCAAGTAGCGAACAGTAGGGGGGACACGCACACCGTAGCAAGCAGCGAACAGTAGGGGGGACACGCACACCGTAACAAGCAACGAGCAGTAGGGGGGACAGGCACACCGTAGCAAGCAATGAGCCGTAGGGGGGACACGCACATGGTAGCAAGCAACGAGCAGTAGGGGAGACACGCACACCGTAGCAAGCAACGAGCAGTAGGGGGGACACGCACACCGTAGCAAGCAACGAGCAGTAGGGGGGACACGCACACCGTAGCAAGCAACGAGCAGTAGGGGGGACACGCACACCGTAGCAAGCAACGAGCAGTAGGGGGGACATGCACACCGTAGCAAGCAACGAGCAGTAGGGGGTACACGCACACCGTAGCAACCAACAAGCAGTAGGGGGGACAGGCACACCATAGCAAGCAACGAGCAGTAGGGAGGACACGCACATGGTAGCAAGCAACGAGCAGTAGGGGGGACACGCACACCGTAGCAAGCAACGAGCAGTAGGGGGGACAAGCACACCGCAGCAAGCAACGAGCAGTAGGGGGTATACCCACACCGTAGCAAGCAACGAGCAGTAGGGGGGACACGCACACTGTAGCAAGCAACGAGCAGTAGGGGGGACACGCACACCGTAGCAGGCAACGAGCAGTAGGGGGGACACCCACACCGTAGCAAGCAACGAGCAGTAGGGGGTACACCCACCCCGTAGCAAGCAACGAGCAGTAGGGGGGACACGCACACCGTAGCAAGCAACGAGCAGTAGGGGGCACACACACACCGTAGCAAGCAACGAGCGGTAGGGGGGAGACGCACACGTTAGCAAGCAACAAGCAGTAGGGGGGAGACGCACACATTAGCAAGCAACGAGCAGCAAGGGGTACACGCACACCGTAGCAAGCAACAAGCAGTAGGGGGTACACGCACACCGTAGCAAGCAAGGACCAGTAGGAGCTACACGCACACCGTAGCAAGCAACGAGCAGTAGGGGGGACACGCACACTGTAGCAAGCAATGAGCAGTAGGGGGGACACGCACACCGTAGGAAGCAATGAGCAGTACGAGGGACACGCACACTGTAGCAAGCAACGAGCCGTAGGGGGGACCCGCACACACCGTAGCAAGCAACGAGCAGTAGGGGGTACACGCAGACCGTAGCAAGCAACGAGCGGTAGGGGGTAGACGCACACGTTAGCAAGCAACGAGCGGTAGGGGGTAGACGCACACGTTAGCAAGCAACGAGCGGTAGGGGGTAGACGCACACGTTAGCAAGCAACGAGCAGTAGGGGGGAGACGCACACATTAGCGAGCAACGAGCAGCAAGGGGTACACGCACACCGTAGCAAGCAACAAGCAGTAGGGGGTACACGCACACCGTAGCAAGCAACGAGCAGTAGGAGCTACACGCACACCGTAGCAAGCAAGGAGCAGTAGGGGGGACAGGCACACCATAGCAAGCAACGAGCAGTAGGGGGGACACGCACACCGTAGCAAGCAACGAGCAGTAGGGGGGACACGCACACCGTAGCAGGCAACGAGCAGTAGGGGGTACACCCACACCGTAGCAAGCAACGAGCAGTAGGGGGGACAGGCACACCATAGCAAGCAACGAGCAGTAGGGAGGACACGCACATGGTAGCAAGCAACGAGCAGTAGGGGGGACACGCACACCGTAGCAAGCAACGAGCAGCAGGGGGGACACGCACACCGTAGCAAGCAACGAGCAGCAGGGGGGACACGCACACTGTAGCAAGCAACGAGCGGTAGGGGGGACACGCACACCGTAGCAAGCAACGAGCAGTAGGGGGGACACGCACACCGTAGCAAGCAACGAGCAGTAGGGGGGACACGCACACCGTAGCAAGCAACGAGCAGCAGGGGGACACGCACACCGTAGCAAGCAACGAGCGGTAGGGGGACACGCACACCTTAGCAAGCAACGAGCAGTAGGGGGGACACGCACACCGTAGCAACCAACAAGCAGTAGGGGGTACACGCACACCGTAGCAAGCAACGAGCAGTAGGAGCTACACGCACACCGTAGCAAGCAAGGAGCAGTAGGGGGGACAGGCACACCATAGCAAGCAACGAGCAGTAGGGGGGACACGCACACCGTAGCAAGCAACGAGCAGTAGGGGGGACACGCACACCGTAGCAGGCAACGAGCAGTAGGGGGTACACCCACACCGTAGCAAGCAACGAGCAGTAGGGGGGACAGGCACACCATAGCAAGCAACGAGCAGTAGGGAGGACACGCACATGGTAGCAAGCAACGAGCAGTAGGGGGGACACGCACACCGTAGCAAGCAACGAGCAGCAGGGGGGACACGCACACCGTAGCAAGCAACGAGCAGCAGGGGGGACACGCACACTGTAGCAAGCAACGAGCGGTAGGGGGGACACGCACACCGTAGCAAGCAACGAGCAGTAGGGGGGACACGCACACCGTAGCAAGCAACGAGCAGTAGGGGGGACACGCACACCGTAGCAAGCAACGAGCAGCAGGGGGGACACGCACACCGTAGCAAGCAACGAGCGGTAGGGGGGACACGCACACCTTAGCAAGCAACGAGCAGTAGGGGGGACACGCACACCGTAGCAACCAACGAGCAGTAGGGGGGACAGGCACACCATAGCAAGCAACGAGCAGTAGGGAGGACACGCACATGGTAGCAAGCAACGAGCAGTAGGGGGGACACGCACACCGTAGCAAGCAACGAGCAGCAGGGGGGACACGCACACCGTAGCAAGCAACGAGCAGCAGGGGGGCCACGCACACCGTAGCAAGCAACGAGCGGTAGGGGGGACACGCACACCGTAGCAAGCAACGAGCAGTAGGGGGGACACGCACACCGTAGCAGGCAACGAGCAGCAGGGGGGACACGCACACCGTAGCAAGCAACAAACAGTAGGGAGGATACTCACTCTGTAGCAACCACCGAGAAATAGGGGAGGCATACACACCATAGCAACCACCAAGCTTTATAAGCGCATCGAGGAATCTCTTGTGAATGTCATGCGACCAGCACCGCCGCTGCTTCTTTCCCCCACGCAACCTTCCAGAGGCCCCCTGATGGCGATCCTCATTAACTCCACCGCCGCTGCTACTGCCACCTCCGCCAAGTCCCTTGCCCCCGCCGCTGCCAGTGGTCCCTGCACCCCTGCCTTTGCCATTGGCGCTGTCGCTACCACTGCCACTACAATCGCCGCCATCACCGTCATCAGCGCGACCACCATCATCACCATCATCACCATCTTCACCATCATCGCCATCATCACCATTATCATCATTATGACCATCATCACCATTATCACTATTATGACCATCGTCACCATCGTTGCCATCGTCACCAGGTCTAGCACCGTCACCATAGTTGCCACGGCCACACTTCCCCGCATCACTACCGCTTCCAGCACTCCTTCCCCTACAGCTCCCGGAGCCTCTGGGGCTCTCTGTTTTAGCCCTTATGCTCTTCTTCTCAACCTTCCCCTCCTCCAGATCTGCCCCTGTTAACACCACCTTAGTTCCAACACTCCTCTCCCCACTGCTTCTTACAATCCTTGGGCTATTTGTCTTGGATCGAACGATCCTTCTCTCATTTTTTCCCTCCGTCCGCTCCACCCGTGCATCGATCTTGTTTACTTTCTCACCTCCCGTTGCCTCCACTTCCTCCCCCCACGTCTCCTCTCTTCGTGTCAATCTAGAGCTGAGGCCCCTCCCTTTGATCGCTATTGCATTGTTCGTACTGTTGGCGGAAACTTTTTGCTTGCATAAACCATCATCCCCACTCCCTAGCATGCCACGTCGAACTGCATCGCCTCTCCCCTCCGATACACCCTCTCTTCTTTTCCCTCCACCTGGTTCCCTTCTCCCGCACCCCTCCTTCAAGCCCTCGCCCTGCTTCTCTTTGCCAGTGTTTGACCCTGTGCAGCCGCTGCTAGCTACCTTGTAAGCCATGCCTGCCCCAAGTCGCAGCTCTGTGCCTGCTGCTGTTCCCAATGCTGCCGAACCTGAAACAGGGGTTGTGCCTGCTTCAACTCGTGGCTCCGCGCCTGCTGCTACCCCTACTCCATACCCTACTCCATCCCCTACTACTTCCCAAACTGCTGCTCCCAATGCTGCAGAACCTGAACCGGTGATGCCTGCTTCAACTCGTGGCTCGACACCTGCTGCTGCCCGTGCTCCTGCCACTGCTACAGTACCTGAAGCGGCAGTAGTGCCTGCCTTGGCCCATGGCTTGGCACCTGTTGCTGTATCATCTGCAGCAGCAGCAGCAGCAGCAGCACCACCACCACCACCACCGCCGCCACCACCACCGCTAGCACCGCCAGCACCCTTGACACCATCAGAAGCGCCAGCAGCATCAACACCAGTTGTAACAGCAGCACCGGTAACATCCATACCAGCGGCAATGCCTCTGTCATTCTGCCCTGCTTGCTGATACCTGTGTATTAACACCTCGGTTCCCTCATCAAGCTTGTCTCCTCTGCTGCCATCATCACCCCTACCCCCCCTGGTCAAATCACCCCAGCTTCCCTCACCACCACAAGAGAAGAGCGACAGCCTTTGCTGCACTCCGCCTACTGCAGCTGTGGCTGCAAGAGGTACTGCAGGTGGGGGAGGCAAGGCGGGAGCAGCTGCAGCAGTGGCGGTGGCAGTGGCAGCAGTGGCAGCAGTGGCAGCAGTGGCAGCAGTGGCAGCAGTGGCAGCAGTGGCAGCAGTGGCAGCAGTGGCAGCAGTGGTATCAGTGGCAGCGGTGGCAGCAGTGGCAGCAGCAGTAGCATGTGTAGCGGCAGCGACAGAAGTGACAGCACCAGCATGAGATGAGGAAGCAACCATGGCATTTCCAGCCACAACAGCAGCCCCATCAGCGGCACTTGCCGAAGTGACTTTTGCTGCCTCCGCTGTGGCCACTTCTATGCCTGCTGCACTCTGCCCCATCCGATCCTCCCACAAGGGTCCAAGCTCCATGCCCCACTCCCTCATCTGGATTCTACGCTCGTTCGTTTTTGTTGTCCCATGTCCCTTCGTTTTCTTCCTACGCTCCTCCCCACACTCTTCTCCATCCTTCCTTATGGGCTCCTGCCCATGTTCCTTTCTGTGTTCCTCCCCACGCTCCTTCAAATGTTCATTCCCCTCCGCACTCTGCTCTGTGATAACCCCTTCCCCTCTCCTATTCCTTCCACTCCCTCGCATGCTCGGGTTGCCAAGACTAAGTGCCAAGTGCGTCGATGATGGTGCTGTCATCGCTCGCCCGCTACTCTTCTCCCACCTCATGACGCCCGCACCCTCTGGTACGGCCTTCCTTGGTGTCAGCTCCTCCTTATCCCCACCTTCTTCACAATCATCAGTCTCTCTCTCAACCTCGTTCTGCTCTTTGTCCCCAGCCTCTTTTCTCGTCTCTCTTCTCTCAGCCTCATCTCCCACTCTCCTTTTAACCCCTTCTGCCCTCCCTCCCATTTTTTCTTCCCGTCCCTTACCTGATCTTCTGCCCTCCTCCCCTTGTCCATCGTCCTCTCTACAAGCTTCCCCCTTTAGACCTCTAAGCTCCAACGAGCCTTTATCTCCACTATTAGATAGATCGCAACAGTTCTTTGCCCATGCAGGCATGAGCATACCATCCACGTCAACAACACCACCACTTCCCAACAACCCCTCCGCTCCTTTTCTCCTTCTCTTCTTAAACTGCTCCTTGCCCCTCTCTAGGAGCCCCCCCTGTTTTCGCTCCTCCTTCCACTCTTCTCTCACTCTCCTTCGCCTTCCACCCTTCTTTTCATTCTGCATGTGAGTGCTCAAGGACTCAGCTTGCTGACCCTCTTTCCTTGCTTCTGGCACCAGTTGTCCCGCTTGTGCTTCCTCAGTTTTGTTGACCTCCATCCAATCATAAACCTTCTTGTTTGACCTCTCCTCTTTCTCCTCCTCTCCATCTCTCCCTCCTGTTCTTTCTGCCATGCCTTCTGCCCTCCTGATCAACTCCACATCTCCTGCCTCCAACTCCTCTTCCCTTTCTGTATCTCTAGACTCTTGCCGGCTTTTCCCCTGCCCATTCCTATTCGGTTCTTCGCCACAACGCTTCATTGCATCTATGCAGCTTTTCGTGTCAGTAATAGCTGCCAAAAGAGAGTCAAGGGTAGGATGGAAGTAGAAACACACGAAAATATGGATGTAATTAGCAATTGCTGAAAGAACGCTGTGTTGAAATCAACCAACTGCGTCTCTGAAAGACATTGTCATCATATGTAGAAAGAAACACTGCTAGAAATGTGAAGCTAGAAACTAAGATCTGAAGTGATGGCCATGGTGAGTGTTTTGGGGTTCATGTATCCAGAACGCTGTAGAGGTGGAAAAGCGGGGAGGGGAGAGCAGTGTCTTCTGGAAAATTGGGTGAAAATCATCGTCTGTAGGTAGAAACAACAACTGGAGTGTAAATGTGGATGGAAGGGAAGTTTTTTTCTTACGAAAGTGTGTGAAAGATATATGAATGCGCTTGCATGTATGCATGCATATATGCTCCAGAAGCATATGATTGTGCGTATGCATATGCATGCGAATCACGCCAATGCATGCTCGTGCATAAGTATGTATATGCATGTGTTTGAACAATATCCACACAAATGCATTCATACTTATTATGATACGTGTGTGTGTGTGTTATGTCCCAAAAATTGGGCACTCACCTACATAGTAGTAATGGTTGTACTCCGTGGCTAACGTACACACCGTACATACACCGTACCATTACCGTGTACCTACTCCGTGTTTCTGCTCCTTTTTTTCATGCGACGCGCGCAGTGCGTGCGTGCATGTGTGTGTGCGTGCATGTGTGAATGTAATTACACATCCGTACAATTATATGCTAATGCGTTATGCAGTTCTTGTCCCATGACCCTAAAAATGTCGTAGGTAGTGTAGTAGCGCACTGTATGTTTGCTTCTTGATGGAAGCTTTTGTCTAGACGCACATAACTTCCCGTGGCTAGTAGTAGGGAAGGGGAAAGAAGAGGGAAGGAGATACATTGTGTTCCACGCACAATGGGGTGGAGGTTAGAGGGAGGGAAGGACATTGAGATGGAGAGAGGCATGGAAAAAAAAAAGGAGTGTGAGAAGGAGACAGGGAGAGTGAGAGGGGGGAAAGCGAAAGGTGAAATATTGTGATAGATGCACAATGGGATGGAGGGAAGAGGGGGGGAGGACACTGTGTTAAAGAGAGGTATAGAGAGAAATAAGGAATGTGAGAGGGTGAGGTAGAGAGAGAGGGGGGGGGGAGGGGGGGGGGGGGGAGAGAGAGAGAGAGAGAGAGAGAGAAGAGAGAGAGAGAGAGAGAGAGAGAGAGAGAGAGAGAGAGAGAGAGAGAGAGAGAGAGAGGGAGAGAGAGAGAGAGAGGAGAGGGAGAGAGAGAGGAGAGAGAGAGAGAGAGAGAGAGAGAGAGAGAGAGAGAGAGAGAGAGAGAGAGAGAGAGAGAGAGAGAGAGAGAGAGAGAGAGAGAGAGGAGAGAGGAGGGAGAGAGAGAGAGGAGAGAGAGAGGAGGAGAGAGAGAGAGAGAGAGAGAGAGAGAGAGAGAGAGAGAGAAAGAAAGACCCTCTATAACTTATTACCGTTGTCAATGAGTTCTGCGCACAGAGGCAACTCCCTCTTGAACAGCAACACCTTCACACGCTCCTCTTGAAGTCTCTGCAAGTATTCCTGTAGCTCTTGCATACTGGGCGATTTTGGTAGCAGTGGTACAAAGGAGCAGGATGCCTTTCCAAAATCACTTTGAAAACACGGTGTCTTTTACAATACAACTAGATCTGGTGCAACTGTCAGGTATAGTTGACATAGTATGAATAATGCAGGCCAATGCTTCTTACAACAATCAGTGGTAGTCACTCGGTTGTTTCAGAGGAAGTGATGGTAGGGGACAGGAGGGTCTGCGGAGGTTGGGAACAAGCACCAACAAACAACAGACTAGGAGCCCTGGGGGCATGCTGGGGTTTGTTGGCTTGGTAGCCTCGAGATTTGCCCTGAGATGGCCCCGCTCGAAGCGAGGCGAACCAGCCACACGACTGGCTGTTACCGCGTCGGCGAGTTTCGTCATTTCCTCGCTTCCAATGTGGCAAACCGTCGTCACGCGGAATATTCAAGCCGTAGTTTGGCGGTTCTCGCGTGAGCTGCTGGGTGTAGTGATTACAGCCAATCCGATCTCCCCAGCCACCACAAGCTCAGGAATAGAATGAACCCTATATCAATCGACAAGTGTACCCCCATGAAAACTACGAAGAGAAAATGTTGGTAGTACCGGAAGAGGACCAGGAAGAAAATTGCCCGAGTTTGCTTTGTTAAAACAAACAGCTCCATGCTATTGCCCTCTGAAGTACAGGTAATCTGACATGAAACCCATATTGCGGACCATCGGGGAGACTCCATTCCGAAAAGGCTCAGACCGTAAAACTATTCGCTTGCTTTGTCGCTTTTTCCCTTCAAATGCAGAATCAAGATTCCTGCTGAACAAACGTCAGCCACTTGTGCAGCACAAACGAACAGCGGGACGGGCGACAACCAATGTCGGTTGGGGGACGGGCTGCGCTTGCTGACCTGGACGCATCGTATGGAATTCTCGAGAATATTCCTTTGGATATTTAGCCATCACAAAACTACACTGCTGAGCATTACCCACAATACACATGCGAGCTGGGTCCAAATATGTTGAGTCTGAATATCCAATCCAACCATCCTATAACACCTTTGAATGATAAAAAGCCATAAGGATCATATAAAAATATCAAAATGCAAGGCTGATGGAGTAACAGGCTTTATGAAAACAAAGTAGGTTTATCTTTGTTCTAAAACAACAGTAGAAAAAAAATGCTAAATCTGTTGACAAAATTTGTCATCGACAATCCCAGTAAACCCTTATACACCACCTACGCCTAGCAATCGACGTGGAACAGGAAGGTCACGGTTTTCACGGGGACGAGGGCGGCGGGGGTCCCCACGGTGAGTGCTGCTGCAGCTGCTGCTGCTGGGTCTGCTGCTGCTGAGGGTGTGGCTGCTGCTGCTCCAAGGCACCAGCCCCGGTCCCCTCGTCGAAACCATCTTCCCCGCCCCCACCTCCACCCTCACCACCCCCACCACCCTTCCCTCTGTCACGCCCCCCCTTGGGGCGGCAGCCACTACCAGGACGCGGCTGCGATGAGGCCGCTGCGGCGGTCTGCGCAAGTGCACTGGGAGGGAGCACAGCCCTGAAAGATAGGGACCGGCACAGTACCGCTAGACTAAACGATAAAGCGCTGGCGGGTCTCTATCGCGGACAGGGCGGTAACAAAGGCGGTGAGGGTGAGGTCACCTGGATGCCAACTAAGGAAGTGGTCGCGGGCTGTGGCTAGGCGGTCAGGAAGGCGTGTGGCAATGAGGTAAAGGGTAGCGCAAAGCGGCGGCGGAAAGGCAGTGAGATGAGCCTCAGTGCTAGCGGCGCGGTAGCTAGACTCTGGTGCACGGAGGTGAGTGGCAAGATCGACGACAGTAGGGAAGGACGCAAGATCAGGGAGCAGCATAGGGAGGATCAGGCGGCCAGCAGAGGCTGGGGCTGGGAAGGAATAGCGTGTGATGACAGCATCTAATAATTCTTTGGCGTTCGCTACAGTGGTAAAGCGGGGACGCTCAGACAAGGGAAGTGCGTGACTGATAGCAAGCCGTGCAACTGCATCGCGCGACTCCCAGACAGCGCGAGCAAGTGCAGCAGCGGAAAAGGCCTCACGCTCAGCAGTGGTGGGGGTGTCAGGGAGGGCAACAGGCGCAGCAGGGCGGGGAAGCAGGCCATTAACAAGAACAGCCAGGGAGTGATCGTCCTGGAGCTGACTTGTAAGGTGCCGGCGCAGGTCGACGAGCCATGCCTCGAAGTCGATCGCTTGGCCCTCCGCGTCCAGGCGGAGCAGTTAGTCCGCCATCACCCCGGCTGCAGCAGCTGACTGCCGCTGACAGGGAGAGGAGGAAAGGCGAAAGAAGGCAGCTGAGAGCGATGGAGAGCGGTGGAGTGCGGTGGAGAGCGTTGGAGAGCGGTGGAGCGCTGTGGAGTGCGGTGAAGAGCAGTGGAGAGCGTGGAGTGCAGTAGAGTGTGGTGGAGAGCGGTGGAGTATGATGGAGTGCGGTGGAGTGCGATGGAGAGCAGTGGAGAGCAGTGGAGACAGCCGGTAGATGTGCCGGCTCAGAAGGGAGCCAAGGCCGGTAGGTCCGGGGACGGCAGAGCGTCACGACGGCGCGGCTACTCGGCAACTCGGCGGTACGGCGACGCGGCAGCTGGACGGCGCGGGGCCGGTGCGGGCTGTGGTCGGTGGTGCAGGTGCCAGCAAGTGAGGGGCCGAGGGGGCGCACAGGGCTAGCAGGGCGCACAAGGCTTGCGAGGCGCACGAGGCTAGCTTGGCGCACGGGGCTAGTGGGGCACTAACGGGGCCAGCGGGGCGCACGGGGCCCGCGGGGTGCACGGGGCTAGTGGGGCGCGACGGGGCTAGCGGGGCGCGAACGGAGCCAAAGGGGCACACGGGGCCGGCGGGGCTCACGGGGCTAGCGGGGCACGACGGGGCCAGCAGGGCGCTAACAGGGCCAGCGGGGCGAACCGGGCCAGCGGGGCGTACAGGGCCGGCGGGGTGCACAGGGCTAGTGGGGCTCGACGGGGCCAGCGGGGCGTGGACGGGGCCAGCGGGGCGAACGGGGCCAGTGGGGCTCGACGGGGCGAGCGCGGCGTGAACGGAGCTAGCGGGGCGTTAAGGGGCCAGCGGGGCGTACGGGGCCAGCGGGGCGCACGGAGCCAGCAGGGCGCTAACGGGGCCAGCGGGGCGCTAAGGGGCCAGCGGGGCATACGGGGCCTGAGAGGCGCTAAGGGGCAAGCGTGGCGCTAACGGGGCCAGCGGGGCGCTAAGGGATTGTACTCTCTAAGAGTATGCACCTATCTAGCCTATATGACACACACACATACACACACACACACACACACACACACACACACACACACACACACACATATATATATATATATATATATATATGTTTTGACAATGTGAGAGCACTTGGCCCTTCGCCAAATTCAGGGCTAGCGTGTGTTGGGGGATGTGTGAGGGAGGGGACTTATTGGCCCTTCGTCAAATCTAGGACCCAACGTGTGCCTTGGGGCTTTGTGAGGGCGCGATTTCCTACTTCCACCCCTGCAATCATGCTCAGCCATCCGATTGGTTCGGCAAAAATTGATTGGCCGAGGCTTCCTGAAAACGTCGCTGCAAAAATCGACGGCCTCAGCAACATCATCATGATTCCCCCGAGAATCCTCCCTCCCTCCTTTCTCCCCTCGGCCCTTGCTCTCCCGGAATTCCGTTCCGTCATATCCCAATTTCGTCAAATCTGTGTAAAAGTATAAAGGAACCCTAAAAAATCAGGCTAAATATGGGGGGGGGGGGGGGACCCTGAGCAATCAGGGTACCTCAGAACCAATATGAGGCCCTGGCTTGTTTTATGTTATAGATACGCATGTTGCGTGTTGCCATTTTTTTTTATTCCCATGAGAAACGAGAAATTTTCGAAGGGAGCTTCAATTAAAAAATTTAAGGCCGCTGTCGAATTTCATTATATACGGGTTCAAAATGGTGTTTTTACAGGCCCTACATTGAAGAGCAGAGCTCCCTCCCTAAGCCCTAAGCAGCGCTCTGATTGGCAGGATAACTTTCTTGGTCACTTTTGTTGGGTCGTGTTATGAATAATAACTGAGAGTACGCGGAATAATAATGATGAGTACAAGAGTGGGAGCCTAGCAGCACTATATAGCGAGAGCTCTAGCTAGGCGACGAGCCCGGAGGGCTAGGTTGGGTATAGGCGCGGTCGAAAGGGGCGGAGGCAGTGCCAGCCAGCCTCGGGGTTACGTGTTGCCACGGCTTATGGGGTGGCTCGAGCGGTTGCAGCAGTCCAGTTGGCCGCTATCGGGAGGACTTCATGCGCTAGCAGGTCGGGCGTATCTTTACACATCAGACGCTGAATCAGGCCAGTAATAAAAATTGTGAAGTAATTTCTGGGTTTTATCAACCCCGAAACGACTGGAGAGGTTAGAATCATGGAGTTCTTGAATCAATAATTCGCGGAGGAGTCGGTAGGCAGGGACCCAGATGCGGTCAGTGCCGGCTTTTATGAAATATATTCCCTTGGCCGTGGTCGCTTGCCGGTGGAGGTTGCGAGTGAAAAAGGGGTCGATGCTGTAGCCATGGGTAAATAGTCCAGTGAGGAGTGGGTTGGATTGTGCAATGATGACGGAGGCGAGGTGGGCAGACGGTCATGTCAGTGCGTCGGCGATGTTATTCACCCCACGTTTGTACGTGATGGTACAGTGGAAGTTGCTCTCGAGGAAATCCAGCCAGCGAATATGTCGTGGGTTGAGGTTCGGCTACGCGCGGAGGTACTGTAGAGATTTATGGTTTGTCCGTACTGTCACGTCGGCTCCCGTCAGGTAGCAGCGCCACACCTTAAACGTGTGTATGATGGCGAGCATTTATTTTCGTGGACGGGGTAGTTGCGCTCGGCTGCCTGCAAATTTTTGGACTCGTACGCGATTGGTTGGAGTCCGTCGCTGAAATCTTGTAATAGTACCGCACCGATG